TGTTCTTTGACCTTCAACAACCCCACACAGAAGGATCCTCCAAGAGACCAGGCAAAGTAGACAGCTGTCTAATTTCCTCCGTCTCCAGGGCAGCTATACCAAAAGTCACCCCCACGCAGCCGCTCACTCACCCCCACCTCCGGTGGGATGGGGGAGATAATCGGGAGAGCACAAGGAGGAAAACCCCCGGGTTGAGGTAAAACAGTTTAATAATTGAAATAAAACAAACTAGAACAGTAATAGTAACAGTGAGAACAACAATAACAGAATATACAAAGCAGGCAATGCACAATGCAACTGCTCACCGACCACCAACCGCGTGTCACGAACGGGGGTGGGCGAGTCCCCCCCACCTGGTTTTTGTACTGAGCATGATGTCACATGGTATAGAATACCCCATTGGCCAGCTGGGTCCACCACCCCGGCTGTGCTCCCCCCCCGCCAGATGCAAGCACCATCCAGCAACAGCCAAAGCATCAATGGGCCATCAACGCTCCTTTCATACCAAACCCAAAACACAGCACACCCCCCAAGCTACTGGGAAGAAAGTTAACTCTGTCCCAGCCGGAACCAGGACACCCACATACCAGAGGGATCAAAATAGAGTGTGCAATCATGTGTTTCTGAAACACTTCTAAGGCATTCTCTTGCAGTGGTTTTTGTGCAGTTGAATGCTGCTTGGATATTCAGAGTTGATATAGCAGCTGCCAAAAAAAGTTCTTTGGGAATTTTTTTTTTCTTTCAAATGGTTAGAGGGAAATTTGGTTGACAGGGTTCAACAATGTACCAACTGCAATGCAAACTACTAAGTGCAGAAAGTATGCGTGTAGGAATATTCAGCCCATGAAGACTCTTAGTTTTGTTTTCATCCTCAGTGCTTGTGCATGGTTAGCGTATTTCTTTCCTGCATCCCTCTACAGAATCAGGTTGGTCACTCATCCTGACAAGGCATCTGCAGTCTTCTATCCGAAGTATGTCATTGACCCAGCTCTGTATGGGTTGGAGATACACAGAATGTCATTAGACTTGAGAGATACTTAGTGGCATCTTTTTATATTCTGTGAGCAATGGTACAAATTTTAGAAGACCTTTGAAGAACCAGTATTAGCTGAATAGATAGTCAAGTCATACGTGAAAGATGAAGCGTAACTGGACACTTCAATAATCCTGAATGCTGGGTGTGAAGAGTTTCTTTCCAAGTGGATGGTCGTTATTTGTTCTATAATGTGCTGATATGGGACTGGGTAGTCCCAAAAATTGACTCAAAAAATTACTATGTGTTTTTAATCCTCAGGCAAGCGTTCTATATTATAAATAACTTTCTAGGTAAAGACTTCAAAAAGTGTGCAAAACTGCAAATTAGGTTTTCCTATTCAATTTCCATAACGGTAGAACAAAACCCGGAGAATCACAATCCAGATATGTTTCAATTTCAAAACACACTATGCTTGATTTTTTTCACCACAGGTGAAAAATGTACATTCTTGGGTTTTTACATAAATATTTTGTATATAATAGATTTGAGAATAATATAGCACGTTAATTCAAGATAATGGAAGAACTGTAGTGTAACAAAATATGCTTTTAAATTGCAGTGTAGTTTTATATGGCTAACATTTTGTGTCACTTAGATTTGGGGTTCAACTATGGGTTCATAACCTGAACTTTGTCTGGCATCAGACTACATGTGGTATCTTTGTATTATTTCATACAGAAAAACTAAGGCGTAGTCTTCCAAACCTGTCCAGGACATCTAACATCCAAGCTGAGTCTGTGAAAAACAGCAGAAGTGACTCAAACTTTCAAGTGCCAAATGGAGGAATACCTCGCATTCAACCTCAAGCCTCAGCCAGTAAGTACCTTTACTAACACTTCAGCATATATTTCAGAATTAAGTGATGGTACTCAGCTGTCTTCCAGTTTCATGGCAAAGAGGAACATTGCATGTCACACTGGAGATGCTAATCTTGATTTTTAATCACACCCGTGTGAAAATCTGCTTTTTTTTGGTACACAAAATCTGGTATTCGGTGTGTTCAGAGAATTCCTGATCTCTTATTAAGGTATCATTCACAGTGTCCTAACAGCATATGTAGAAGTACTATAGTATAAATACAGTAGTGTTACACATTTCAGAAACCATTTATTTTCTGTGGTTTACAGAAGGTATAGTGCTTTGTACTGTTGAATTTTATTTTCAGACTACAAAAACTTACTAGGCTATGAAAATACTTACTTAGATGATGTTTATTGCTTTTGTAAAATAGTGAAACCTGATCTGAAATCATTCATGCAAGTTTAACCCTTGTTTGCAGTTTATTTTCTTCTTTTGTTTTGTCACCTGGAAATTATGTATTCAGTTGCAGATTTTATTTACTTTTTTAAGTGTCAGTATTTCTCAGAAAAGGTTTGGATAAACCTGTGTCCCATGAAATTAGCCCGTTGCTGGGCTAGTGGCTGCTAGTTTGTCCAAAAGTGAACTGCTGATGTGAGAACACTGCTAATCTCACAAGTCTCTTAAAAATGGTGACCTTAAATAAGCCAGAGCAAATGAAACTTAAATATTCACTGCTTCTTTATATGTCAATATTGACAGTTCCTGTTGTTTAAATGTTTCCTGACCATTTTATTTTAAAACAAGTTTCAGAATTAATAACCTTGTGTGACATTTTCAAGGGAAGAACACAATATGAATATTGTTGTGTAGAGCTTTGAACTATAAAAGTTCTGTGATAAAAGTTCATCAGTAATCTAAATATTTGACGGGAAATGAAAGATAATATTTGTGAATGAAACTAATTTTTTTTTTTTACCCATTGAACAGTAAAGGCATACTGGCATACCTAGTTGGCCTCATTAACTAGTCCTTTCAAAACAGTGTGTTAATGCAACCAAATACAGTTGAATACAGGATAAAGGAATACAAGACCGTGCCAATGACTACAAGATTTCTATCTTTGTAGTGACTCAGACCAGATGTAAGGGTTGTGTGGACAGTCAGTCCCAGGTGTGTGATGCTATAGCCAAAGAAGTTAATGTGACTTTGTGATTGTTCATATCGGTAACCCCCGCATCCTTTCACCTTGCCCCCTTCTTCCAATCTTCACAAATGCTCAGAAGGGTGGGATTTACAACTGAAAGGGCACGCGTGTAGTTCAAATCCAGGACTGTCATCTGTTAGGCAGGCTTATCAAACTATAAAGCAGTTGGACAGCAGCTCTCCAACTGTGTTATTTTTGTGATGGGAAGAATAATCAAAATGACCTGAAAGAAAATGAAGGAAAAAATATTTTTAGTAAAAATCTGTACAGATTTTATTGTGTATTTTAAAATTGGGTGAACTGGGAAGGGAAGAGCATAGTTGGCTTAGTTGGCTAAAAGGCTATTTCCAGTATTAAAAGTATATTCACAGTGAAATTTTATGGAAAGATCAGAGAGCAGAAGTCTCAATATTCAATATTTAGTGAGCTACTTCATTGCAGGAGCCAAAGTAGTGTGACTTATGTTTATACGTGTGTATTTTCAACTTGTGGATGGACTGAGAATCACAGAAATTATTAGGTAAATTTGCTTGCCTTTCATGGGAATCTTTCCCCAAATGCGAACCACTCTAGACCAACTTACATTTAAATGTAAGTTAAGTGTCATTAATAAAGCCCAGATTTCTAGCTTTTACAGTTTCCCTGCTCTTACAGATGTTTGTCAGAGTCTTGCTATTGACAATCGTAAAACGGTTTGTGTATGAAGTCAATGAGTAAGTATCTTTGCTTAGTCTGGATTAAAAAATTTTCTGCAAAACTGTACATTGTATAAGAATTGCCAGAATTGTGTCCTTTTTATTGTATACTTTTTGGGTTTTTTTGTTTTATATTTTGTCACCTTGCACAAAGCACTGTTAAATTGCAGCAAATTTTTGTTTTCCCTTGGCGATGACTTCTGGGTCTTGGGATTCAAAGCTTCCTCATACACCTGCTAGTTTTGCATGAGCTTACCTTTGCAAGGATGCTGGCTTACCACCCGAGGTCACTACTTTTCTCCTTGTCAAAGATCTGCTGTTCATAATTTACTTGCACATTTGCTGTGGCTGCAATACTGAACTTGCTATAGTTGCTGGCATTCAGAAATGAGTTAGGAATCCAGTAAGTTTCTGAAAAGACCATTCCTGTCATAGGCAAATTGTGCATGCTTGCTTAAAGAGTAGAGGGAAGATACTTACAGTATGTTTAGAGGTACAACTGTAAAACATGAAAACATTTGGCGTTCTAAGTTTTAGCTGTAATGTGGTGAAAAATCCAAATTCTTTTTGAAAAGAGATTGAGAACGAGTGAATTAAATAGTAGCTCTAACTATTAGAATCTTCATTTACATCTGGTTCTCCATGCCGTTATGCGGGAAGTACGTTTTTATATAAAAGCTATTAAATATTTCACCTTAAAACTCTGGAAGATAGAGTAATACTTGTGTTCTCCAAGGAATAGGTATCTTCTAAGTCTTAGAATGACAGGAAGTGTCTGTATTTGCGTCCTACACCACATGATTGTGCAAAGCTGTAGAACTTCCAGGGTGGCTTCCACATAGGAGCTATGTGCTTTCTAGTAGATTGTGTGTGATATTTTTGTAGTTATCTGGCACTGTTAGCACATAAATGTTCAATCTTTAAGCAAAGTTAAATACAATACTTCTTCAAAGAGCTGAGCTGTAGATTGTTCAAACTATCAGTAAAATAACTAGTCTGCTTGCCAAGATCCAGCTGCTTGGCATGTTCAGAGTAGAAGAAGAAAGTGTATGTTTTGAGGAAACAGAGTATTCCAGTTCAGTTGATCAGAAGTAAACATAACTGTGTATTCAGCATGCACCACTTGTGACAGGTAGTGTAATAGCATATGGAGGGCTTCAAGAGCAGCAAATAGTGTGGATAAGCACGCGCTCCACGCTTATCTCAAACTGCATGTTTCCTCAGCATTGCTCAAATTGCACTGCCTGAAGTTCTTTTCAGTGATTCAGTGCACATAATTGTTTAGCTGTTGAATCTCTATTTCCTGGAGTCTCCATTGAGAAGGAAAGAATTCGATGTAGATATTTTTTAAATCCTTTCCATATCATCCCACATCTTTGACTTGCAAGTAGTGTAAATAATGATGGGGGAAGAAACTTAGTGCCATGTGCAGCAGCATATTTAAATCTAACTGAACGAATTAGGGCAAACTGAATTCAAGATCATAAATATGAAGGAAGAAGCTGTTCTTAATTTTGTGTGGTATAACAAAAACACTGATTCAGTAAAAAATGATATAATGGAATACTTGTGGACAGAAACACTCTGGCCAGTGGTTTGCCTCACTAAATTCCTAGGAATTGTGCTCATTTTTAAACATCTTACTGTGCTTAATTGGCTGTTTATGGGTATGCCTTAAAAAACATTTATGGCAAGACCATGTGCCAGAAGTTGAATAAGAATTGCATAATGCCACGTGCTTTTTTGCATTAGATTCTAGTTGGTAGAAGGAATAAGTTTGTTATTCTTAATAGCCACAAGCAGCAATTTATCATGTTTATAAACACTTTAATTCCTTTTTGCTGTTTGTTGAAAATGACAGGTTTTTGTTAGTTATTAAGACTAAAATGAATAGACCACCTAGTGATATTTTCAGAATGAAGGTAAAACACATGATGAACTTTTTATAGTTCACAAAGTATTGTGGATTTTGCATTGATTGAAGGATAGGAAAGATGATGGCAATTATTATATGCTATCAAGTTTAGAAAAGGATTAACTAATATTATTAGGATTGTAATTGCTCTTCCCCTACCTTCTTTATAGCAATATTCACCAATTGGTGATAGGATTACTGAGCTTTCTTACTCAGGGTCAGGATCTTTATGCACAGCTGTTCCCCCATCTTTCTTCCTTCTCACTATGGAAATAAGCCTTGCTAGTGCAGTCAGTTTTATGCTGGTGTAAAACTCCATACACTGAGGTGAGCAGAGATGTTTATTCATACCTTATCATTTTAAGAAGCCTTTGTGTAGACAAAGCTTTATTTCATTGACCACTTTCCTCCTTCCCCCCTTAAATATGCTGTGATGAAAATACACTGAGTCGATGTGCTCCTTCTGGCAATAGATAGTTCTCTCCTTGCCAAGAGTCTGCAGCTCTTGGAACATTGGCTTCTCTCTTGGTAACTGGTAGGTAGTGAGGTCATTTCAAGGCAGTACCAACCCTTGAACATTACTAGAAAAAAGGCGGGACATAGGAGCAATAAAAAACCAAATTTGTCATGCTGTCTACATGCTGGCAGCTGATAATTCTTAGTGTTATGTCTTCGTTTTAAGTTTGAGTCCTCTTGCATACCTTTTAAGGGAAAAAACCCAGACATCTCTCAAAATGGCCTATGTTTGCATAATTGAAAAATACAACTTTTTTATATGATGATCACATTTAGACAAAGACTTATATTTTTGTATAGTTTTAGAATATTTTTTTGAAAACTCCTTTAAAATGAAAAGTTTAGTCTTGCTAGGTCAAATATGACAGTTTAAGTTTCATCTTCGTATCTAATCTTGCACTCATATTGCTGTAGCATGTGTGCTAGGTGGCTTGTTCTCCCTTTGGTGTATTAATTTTTTTTGCATTTCTGGGCTTTTTGCCCTGCAAGAAGCTTTACTCTTATAGGATCTGCGCATTTTGCACTGCAAAATTTCTGACACGCTCCTCTCTAACTCTTTGCCATTAAGAACCACTTAAAAAAACCCATCACTTCCAGAGTCATAACAGAGTCATTTGAGTGTTTTACTCACTCTGTTCCTTGATGCTTCACAAGTGGATGCAATTCTGAAATTCCCCGTAAATTT